CTTGTATTACAAAAGTATTAACGACTTACATTTATATTATTTACATAGTAAATACAAAAGTGATTTTTAATTTTGACCATTGTTGACCAGAATAGTGACCAATTATGGTCGCTATTTATTCATGAATTTAGTTTAGCGACCAAAGTTGGTCGCTAAATTTAAATCAGATTTAATTATATTTCATATAATAATTAAATTAATAATATAATTATTAAAATTGAATAACTGGGACCCAGTTAAGCGACCAAAATTGGTCGCTACCTTTCTTGCCTTTATGTAGCGACCAACGTTGGTCGCCAATTTTATATTATATATATTTATATTTTATAGTTTTTTCAAAATAATAATATAATTATTAAAATTTTGTAAGCGGATCCCACTTTAGCGACCAATATTGGTCGCTAATCTCAGTAAACGTTTGACCAAGTAAGTCTAACCAATCCAGTCAACATTTTGACTGCTTTAGCGACCAACCTTGGTCGCTATTTGGTTTCCACAATTTATTTTATTATTTTTGCTAGTTTAGCGACCAACTTTGGTCGCTTTTTCCCATAGACTAAATTTGGTCGCTATTTTTTGGTCGCTTTTTACAGGAATTCTAGTAGTGACTTTTTTTCTTCTTCTTTGTTTATATCAATATGTATATTAAAATTTTATTTTCATTCTTTCTATATAAATAATATTATTCTTTGTATATCAATAATATAAAATTATATGTATAGTTATTGCTGCATTTATATCAATGTATATCACAATAAAAATATTGTATTATTTGTATATCACAGTGTATAGCACATCGGACATGTGTATATCAAAATTGTAACCAGTGTATATCTCTATGTACATCAATGATATCTCATGTATATTATGTGTATATCCTTGAAGTTTTGTGTTATATATACGATATACAATGCGATATATACGGGCGTCCATAAAAAATTATATTGTATACACGATATACAAACTGGTATACACAGACGTCCTTAAAAACTTATGGGTAATATACACTAATGTACACGATATACAACGTGATATACACATATCATAGTTGGATTTTTAGGTCTGATTTTTTTACCTAAAATCAGTCTAAATCACTTCTAATCTTGCTCAAATTTTGTATATAGCCTTGTTTAGGTATTTTCAACCAATTTCAATCACACTCACTCATTCAATCTAACAAAATAAAAGAGAAGAAAAATAAAGATGAAATATATTTTTTTCTCGCTTAGTTTTTGCTTCTGATTTTTTCGGATGTGAGATCAACGTTACCTTTTCATCCCACTGATTTTTTTTTTGCATAATTTGCAAGAATTTTTGCTAAACTATGAGAGCAAAAGAGAAGAGATAGAATAAGAAATACAAGGAGAGAAAGGGGGAGGGAAGCCACAATAAACGTGTAGTTTTTTTTGAGAGAGAATATAAAAGAGAGTAGTTTTTTTTAAGATTTGGCTATATAATGCCAATTGTTTGGGGCTATCTTTGCCAAACCTAATATAAGGCTAAAAAATTGCCAATTTATGTTATGTGTTGTTATAGGTTGCCAATTTTTCACAAAGATACCAATGTAGCGGATTTTATGCTTATAAATACTTTTTGTTGAAAAATAAATATAAATAAGATTAATTGAAAACAAACTAAAAAGAGAATGTTCAACTTGTTGAGAGATTATTGTACAATACACAATTTCCAAATCGAATCAAAAAATTAATGTTGAAATTTCAAAGTAATATTAAAATGTCTGTCTGTTTTCCTTTATTTTTAATGGCAATTATTTCACACGAGTGTCTTGCACGTCGACGTTTTTGGGTCCCACATAGCAGGAAGCAGATATTTACGCCCATTCACTCCAGGCGCATTATAGCTAGCACCGGTCTTTTTATCCAGCAAAACCATACCCGGAAATCCAGGAAAAGCACCCGACCCGAAAATCCCCGTGCAAGCAGACACAGCTTCTAAAGGCGCGTTAGCTGGACCCTGAAAATACCCGCCATCAAACGGATTCGTAACGGTCCCCGCCAAAACAGTCGCTAAACAGATTACCATTCCGTCAACTCCGATGTCTCCGTTCGGTGAACCTAACGGCATAGTCTGTGGCCCCACAATCGGCTTTTGAAATGGCCACGCGCACTGACCCGGACATTGACTCGCGGAGTTACCTACCCAAGCATACGCAAATTTACTCCCTATTTTCTTAACATGAGTTGACCCGTGCATGCCACACCTATTCATGCAGAAGTCTTCCACCGCCACATCTGCCGCCGTCAACACGACGGCGATTGAGTTGGCTTGAGTTATCTTAGATGCCAAAATTTCAAGTTCATGGTCTTTTAACAATTTTCCAACGGAGTATTTTTCGTCGAATATCTGTTTTCCTAGTGTAATAACGGATGGGCCACCCTTGTATGCTTCGGTGGTGCGCCACCATGATGCGGCGGAAGGAGGTGGTTGGATTTTCTTTCTCATCCGACCATACAAATGAAGCACCCTTCTTAGTCAGCTTGGTCAAGGACGATGCGATAGATGAGAATCCCTGAACAAACCGGCGATAATAGCCTACTAAACCAAGAAAGCTACTCAACCTGAATACCCTCGCTGGACACCACGTGCCCCAAGAAAGCCACTGAACTGAGCCAAAACTCACACTTGGAGAATTTTGCATAAAGCTTCTCCTCCCTCAATCTCTACAACACAACTCTCAAATGCTCCGCGTGTTCCTCCTGACTATGCAAATACACCAGAATATCATCAATGAATACTATGTCAAATGAGTCGAGATAAGGCCGGAACATGTTGTTCATCAAATGCATGAACGCTGTTGGGGCATTGGTCAGTCCAAAAGACATCACCAAGAACTCATAATGAACATATCGGGTCCTGAAAGCCGTCTTAAGAATATCCGATTCCCTGATCTTCAATTGGTGATAACCTGAACGGAGATCAATCTTGGAGAACACTCTCGCTCCTTGAAGCTGGTCGAATAAATCATCAATGCAAGGCAAATGATACTTGTTCTCAACTGTTACTTTGTTCATGTGCCTATAATCAATGCACATCCTCATAGTGCCATCCTTCTTCTTTACAAATAGAACTTGCGCACCCCAAGGTGACACACTAGGCCGAATGAACCCTTTATCAAGGAGTTCCTGAAGCTGCTCCTTAAGCTCCTTCAACGCCGCTGATGCCATACGATACGGAGGAATAGAAATGGGCTGAGAGCCCGGTACCAGGTCAATACCAAAATCAATATCCCTATTCGGTGGCATGCCCGACAGGTCTGCAGGGAACATATCAGGAAAATCCCTCACAACTGGAACAGAATCAACACTAGAGTCTCAGCACCGACAACCTTCACAAAGGCTAGATACGAAAGACAACCCTTCCCAACCATACGCTGGGCCTTCAAGAATGAGATCACCCTACTAGGAACATAATCAGTCACACCTCGCCACTCAATCCGTGGCACACCCGGTATAACCAATGTGACTGTCTTGGCATGACAGTCTAGAAGAGCACAACACGGAGATAGCCAATCCATGCCCAAAATGATATCAAAATCCACCATACATAATAATAAAAGATCCACTCAGGTCTCCAGACCCCCAATAGTCACCACACACGACCGGTATACGCGGTCTACAACAACAATATCACCTACTGGAATAGATACATGAACAGGTGAAACAAGAGACTCACGGGGCATATCAAGATAATGGGCAAAGTATGATGACACATAAGAAAAGGTGGAACCAAGATCAAATAATACAGAGGCATCTCTATGGCAGACTGAAACAATACCTGAAATCAAGGCATCTAAGCAGCAGCATCTAGTCTACTTGGGAGGGCATAGAAATGAGCCTGGCCACCACCTGATCGACCTCTCCCTCTAGGGAAACCCTAGCTAACTGACCTCCACCCCTAGCTGGCAGGGCGGGTGGTGAAGTAACTGGAGCTGAAGTCGAGGGCTGACCCCTTTGCTGAGACGGACCATCATGAAGACGAGGACATTGCCTCCTCATATGCCCAAACTCTCCACACTCATAACAACTTTCCGGTGCTGGAGATGGGGACTGAAGGGAACACCTGGCACCGGAATGACCAGTAGAAGGACCTGGCATGGAAGAACCCTGAACCGATGGAGCACGAGACGAACTCTAGGCTGAAAGGGCATTGAGTGATGAATGGATCTGATGAGAATTGTGAGAACCATGACTCGATGATGCCCCACGATAACCTGGGCGAGCTGACTAAGCCTGCCTGAATAGATGGCCTCTGCCCTGCTAGAACTGACCCCTCGAAGGAGCACTACTAAAGCTACCAGATCCCCGAGGCCTCTTGGCCTCCCTCTCCTCTCGCTCCTGGCGACGAACTGACTCAATCTCACAGGTGATGTCGGCAACCTCCTCGAAAGTAGCACCTGTCACCCTCTCCTTAGTCATGAGAATCCGAAGCTGATATATAAGGCCATCAACAAACCTCCTGATCCTCTCTCGATCTATGGGAACCAACCAGACTGCATGACAAGCTAACTCAGAGAACTGTATCTCATACTGCATCATAGTTATCTCTCCCTGACGCAACTACTCGAGCTGCCTGCGCAGCTCCTCTCGGCAAGACTGTGGCACATACTTCTCCAGAAAGAGAGCGGAGAACTGCTACCAGGTAAGGGGCGCTGCACCAACAGGCCTACGCCTCTCATAAGCCTCCACCAAGTGAAGGCAGCCCCAAAAAACTAAAAGGTAGTAAAAGCTACACCGCTGGTCTCTAGAATACCTACTGTACGAAGCATCCTCTGGCACTTATCCAAGAAACCCTAGGCATCATCGCCCTCTGCACCACTGAAAGTCAGAGGCTGAAGTCTACAAAACCTCTCAAGTCGACGCAGCTCGTCGTCCGGCATAACTGGTACCATATACTCCTGAGCTGGTGCAACCAGCTAGGCTGGAGGTTCCCCAGGTGTCTGAAGTCTCTACACAACCTACTTAGGTGTGCGAGCAACGGGAGTCTGGGAGCCTCCCCCAGCCTGAGAAGTAGTTGCGGTCGTAGTAATCGAGACCGCCTGAGCCAAACCGGTACACACTGATAAAATCTTAGCCAAAGCCTCCTGAAGGCCTGGAATCATAATAGGCACAGTTGGTGCCTAAGCTGGTGGTGATGTAGCGTCCACAACTGGGACCTGATACTAAACTGGGGCAGCTGGTGGATCTACAGGTGCTGCCCTAGCTACTCTGCCCCTACCACGACCTTAACCGCGTCCTCGGCCTCTAGTGGCCCCAGCTGGTGGTACTAGTGGTCGTCCATCCTGCCCGGTAGCACGTGTCCTCACCATTTGAGAGAGAGTGGAATAACAAAAGTTTAGTACTCGGGTCAACAGATTCGCACAACAAGAATTTCAAGAATATGAAGTTTTTCCTAAAGGTTCTTCAACCTCTCGAGTATAAATATAGATGTCTCCGTACCGATCCGCGAGACTCTACTAAATTGGCTCATGACTCGCGAGGCCTATGTAACCTAGGCTCTAATACCAACTTGTCACGACCCCAAATGCCCGGTCTTGATGGGGCCTATCATATTACTAGGCAAGCCAACCTAACCATATAACCACAAAGAATTTCCTTTCATAAAATCATTTTTCTAACACAGGTTTGGATACCAATTTTCATAAGAAGTGTTTAAAACAACTAAAATGTGCGGAAATCAATAAAACATACAACACAACCCAAACATTTGGTGTCACGAGTCTAGAGCGTATATACAACTAACTGTCTAATACATCATAAGTAAAAAAATGGAAAAGAACAAGATAGGAAGGAGAAAAGCAAGGATGCGGACGCCATGCAGCTACCTTGCAATCTCCGGCAACCTCTGAAAATGCTGAGGACCCTCACTTTGCCGTTCGGGCACCTGGATCTGCACACAAGGTGCAGGGAGTAACGTGAGTACGCCAACTCAGTAAGTACCTAAAGTAAATAAGGTCTGAAAGTAGTGACGAGCAGTTAAAAATCATATAAATGAATAATTAACAGGATAACAGATCAAACTCCACAGTTTAAAACCAGTTTCGTCATAAAATCTTTAAGTTCCAATTGGAATACTTGAAATCATATAATTAACAATTTTTTAACAGAGGCTCATTTTAAAAGACGAGTGAAATCAGTGAAAATATCATAAATGGGCCCCTCGGGCAAGGTATCACTCTGACTATGGCCTCTCGGCAGCCTCTCAGTCACTTGTGACTCAACTCTCGTCACTCAGTACTCACTCTCAGCACTCAGGCTCATTAATGTCTCATAATAATAATAATAATAGTAACCGCCGCGACGTCCAGCCTGATCCATAATTTATAGTCGACTACGCTCACTGGGGGTGTACAGACTCCGGAGGGGCTCCTACAGCCTAAGCGTCATATCGCTGCGGTGCGCAGCCCGATCCAATATATATATCGTTGTGGCGTGCAGCCTGATCCATATAAATATCGTTGCAGCGTGCAGCACAATCCATTATATATATATATATATATTAGGTCCTCAACCTCTCTCAGTCATTAACCTCACAACCACTCGGGCATAACAGAAGAATTCAGGAAACTCAGTCCAAACAACCTTCACATTTTAAGAAGTACAGTGATAAACCAGCTTTAAACAAATAAACAGGTAAAACATGACTGAGGATATGCTTTCAAACAAATAGAATGAGAAAAAATAGTAAAAATGCCCTTAAGGGTCTCAACAGGTCGGCCCAAGGCATCAAACATGGCATACAACCCATAATACAGTATAAATGGCTAAAGTACAGAATATCATAAGGTTTCAAATCAAATACGCGGCTTAATAGTCGCTACAGGACGCACCAAGTCATAATCCCTGCCGGTGCACGCCCACATGCTCGTCACCTAGCATGTGCGTCACCGCATTTTCAAAACAATTTGAATACCGGGGTATTGTACCCTCAATTCCAGATTTACAATGGTTACTTACATCAAATCGGTGAAAATACTACTCTGCAACGCCTTTGCCCCTCGAATCGTCCTCCATTAGCATTAAAACTATCCAAAATCAGAATCACAACGTCAAAATATGCTAAGGGAATGAAGTCCAAGCAAAAATAATCAAATAGTACCAAAAATCTCGAAATTGGCCAAACCTGACCCCCGGGCCCACATCTCGGATTCCGATAAAAATCACATCAATGGATGGATATCACTCCCCGAGTTCATTCATACCAAAAACATCAAAATCCATCCACAAATGACCCCTCAAATCCCAAATTCTAGGTCTCCAGTTTCAAGCCCTAGTTCTTCAATTTTAGGCTTAATTTCCATGATTTATTAGGTATATTTCACATTAGAATCGAGTTTTAAGTCCATGAATCTTACCTCCAAATGATTCCCCTTGAATCCCTCTTCAATCCTCTTCAAAAAGCTCCAAAAAGGATCAGAAATGGTGGATATAAACCCCAAAATCGCG